ACATGTGAGAGCTAGCCTGTTGGTAAGTGGCATTTAGATAATGAAGTGTTGCATCCCTTTTCAAGACAGCGTAATTCTGTTCTAATATGTTAATAGCTGCTTTTAGCCTGTACTGTGTCTCTGTTTCTTCACTGTTCCTTCTAATACCTTGTGGCTCTGCTGGATAATTTTAATCAAATTTGAAGGACAGGTAGATGTCTCAGAAATAAGTAAGTCACTGGGTGGGGTGACCAAATTAGTCCCTCTGGTGGGGGAAAGGCAGGCACAGCTCACCAATTACATGACTTTTTATTACATCTTTTTTGGTGGCTTAATGCAAGTAACAACATCCTGTTTTGCTCCATGGTTGTAAGGACCATAACTGGACAGCTGGGTTACTGGGCTGAGGAGAGGTCTCTGGAGCCCGAGGGAGCAGCAGAGGACTTGGACCTGCAGGAAACCAAGCTCCCATTGTTCTGTAGCTTTCTGAGGAAAGACTTGTCAGTGATCTTCAAAGTGCTCGGGAGGATACCATAATCCATTTCATGAGATCCATGGTCAACGTTGGGTGATTTCACTAATGTCACAAGACAGTAGAGCTGGTTTCTACTTCAGGGCTCATGCTTTGGTGTCCTGCTTTGAGTATCTGAACGCTGATGACTTGGACACTGAACTTCTCTCATATAAGGAGAAGTCCTCTGAAAATAAAATATAGCAAGAGTCACTATGGGAAAATAACTACAGCTTCTGTCTCAAAGAAACTGAATAACCCCCAAACCTCTAAACAGCTTACATGGTATGATAACTGTAAAGAGACGTGATCCAGAAGCCTGTTCTCTGTCTTCAGTGACTTTGCTTGGCTGTGCGTGGCCAGCTGGGGTCAGCCTGTGTCCAGCTGAATACCTCATTTCTCCACTAAAGGTACAGGACACAGTTTCACTCGCTTCTCCAGAAATAACAGCTTTCATCACTTCCCTTATCCACTTTATCATGTCTTCATGGTAAGAACAGGAGCACACATGCTGTTTCTGGCACAGAGGAGGAAATAACCAGTTGGGGGGGCAGCTTCTTTTGGGGACAGTGCTGCCTTAAAATGCTTGTGAAACCACAGCCTCAGGCATATCTTGAGCTTTCTGTTTCACCATCTGAAGGGATGCCATCTACACATTTTTTTAAATCTTCTGAAAAGTGTAGTCTGTTTTATGAGGAATGTGTTAGGTATCTTTGATATTTATGTAATTATACTAATGAAGTAGGTTTATTTATTGTTTTCTGAGGAAATGCTTGGTATTTTTGGATTTATGTTCTTCAAAAAGAGGAGATAAATTTCCTGTTAAGATTTTGAATATGATTTTTTCAAATGTCTTCAGAGGAAAGAGTAAACTTGAAGAGTGATTACAGAATATTGGCTAATTAGCTATAGTGTAACTGCTTTAATTACTTTTATCCCTGAAGCCACATGACTGTGCAGATGACTAGCAGATGACTTATTTAAAAAAAAAAAAAAGACGTGTTCACACTGCAAGGTTAATGAGCCTAATTAAATATAGTTTTACTTAGCCAGATACTAAATCATAAAGCGTGGGGGAGGGGGAGAATCCAAAGGCACTCAGTTCTATTTCAAATAATGGTTTTATTCTGCTTTTTAATAAAAAAAAAAAGCTGGAATTGTGAGTGATTTTTCTGAATAGAGACACTTACATTTAAAGATTTGGTGAGAACTCACATGGCAAACTTTGGAAGTCTATTTAGAGACAATTATGCTGAGACATACTTGTTTTCAATTGCCCACTGCTTTAATTAATGGAGAAGTGGGCTTGAATAAAAGGTCTGTGTTAGATAGAAGTCTCCATCTGCTGCTGCGTATCACCAGAACCTTTGTCCTTCCTTGCCATGCATTTTTTTTATTACACCATTTTATTTCCTTTAGTAAGCTGCATAATGTCTCACATTAAGTTGTACAGACAGGATGGAGTTCTGATTTCTTTTTAATTATTTTTAATTTATTTTAAAGTTTTCTGCCTTTGCTGTGCACAGTGGTTCAGCATCCCACATTCAAAAATATACTTGGAGATCCAAATTCTATGGTCTTTTAAGTCAACTTGTGTCTCAGGCACAAAAGTTAGATATTGCGCCTTACTGAGTTGCCATGTGTCAGCTATCTTCATGACTAGTCTTGAGGTATTTAAAACAGAAGGTAAAATGTGTTACATACTGAAAAGGGCTTAAGCCAATGAATTTCATCCTTTTTGCAAAGAACTAAGAACATGCAATCGGGTATTGCGGATAATATGGTAACTTTCACAGGTGACTTTGGGCAAAGATGAGTTAGCAGAAGTAGTAGCTTTTTTTCACTTCCCCCACAAAGGGTATTAGACTTGACTATTTCTTTTAAGCAGTGCTCTGTTTCCTGCAGAGATTAATCAGACCTTCTGAGTAGCTATGCTCAAAAGTCAGGCAGGGGCAGATACAGTAACAGTATGTTTCTACATAAGTCCAGCACAAGATGAGTCAGGCTGAATCTGCTCCAAGTAATAAGTAACGAAGGGTTAACCTACTCATGGGAGGAATTTTGGTTCTTCCACTTAAATTCAAGTTTATGCACCAAGAGCCAAGAAGATGAAAATTTTCCATGTTTGACAAACTGGATGCTGTCTCTACAGTCTTCCTAAATTTTCTATAGAAGGCGATAGTTTTTATAAATTAGTTAGTTAGTTGGATTTCTTGGTTGTTTTCCATAATGTAGAAAAAGTAGGTTAGGGTAGAGTAACTGACGCTTCTGGATCCATATTAGAGAGAGTGGAGTACTTCATGTAAACTGTTTGCTTTGATTTTATCACGTTCTCTAAAGGGGCTGAAAGGTCACGTGCACGCAGTAGGGTTCAAAAGTTATCTTGATAAATTAGATTACGATTAAATGATTCCACCTGAGCGCTTGGCATATAGTAGGAGAATTACAACATGGAGTTTGTGTTTCACTTATTTATTTATTTATTTATTTATGTTTGTATTTTCCTCCCCCTTGGACTTTGTCAAATATTGCCTATAATGGCCCCATGGGAAGTGATGTATGCTCTCTGCTGATCACATAGGAGCCTCATCTTTAAAGCAACTGCAGAGGATGTAGAGGTTTCACTAGCTTATATTTCTGTGCTTATATGGTTTACATTTATTGATATTCAAAAAGAAAGAACATTCTTGCCGTGGGTTTTGTAGCAGTAACTTTTCTCACCTGCTTTCTAGATGTCAGTTGAGCTTCTTGCTTTTGAGGCAGAATGAATAAGCCTGTGGCTTTGGAAGTGGAGAGAAGTAACGAGGGTTTGTTGTTCAGCTGGCTTGCAACTTTGCAAGCTCCTCCTTTTCTTTTTCGCCATACAGGGAGACTGATGCTAAAGTCTTAAAGAAATCCTTAAATTGCTTAGGATTCCTTTGAAACTCCTTCTTTGGTTTAAGTTTTGTTGCTTTTGGCCAACATTTTGACCTTGCAGGTACTGCTCATTTAATTACTTGTATGTGGTATAGGAAAGTGGTAGCAAGGTGGCTTACTGTGCTCAGAACAAGATTCTGTGTAGCTGTGTTTCATGCCTTTGTCCTGCATTTCCACTGAGTCATCTTTACCCTAAATTGGTTTCTCCAGAGCTTTTTGTAAGTCTAATTAGGGAAACAAGCTGGTATTTACACATGCGTTAGCTAATATGTTAGTTCTGCAGGGTTTTTTTGCTATTAAATCTAAAAAGTAGGAAGAAAAAAGTTGAGGATAAGATTTCTGTACAAAATCAGTGATTTTGGTTATTGGCTTTTTTTTTTAAATTTTAAACCTTTTTTAATGAATGTGCTCGGGGGAAATGCAAGTTTAATACAGTAGTGAAGAAGACTTGTAGAGAAGAGATGCTCTTAATAAATTAAGTCACCCAGAATTATTATCTCATAGTATCTGAGCCTGTGTCCATTTACTGACCTTAACTGATAATGATACTTGATGATTGAAGATGTTGATTTGATGATTATTGGTAGTTAATGATTGCTGATGTTGTCTTCAGTGTATTTGCATGGATTGCTTATATGGTTAGTATTTAGAAGAGTTACTTATGTTTTGGGATATGGAGATTTTAAAGATGTTCTGATTTCTTTTTCCTGTGTACTTCTCTAAGCAATTTGTGTTTATTAACATTCAAAATTACACTTCTGGTTTATCATGCTAGGCAGAAATTTCAAGATTCAAGGGCCTGAATCCTCAGTTCTCCTTTATCAGTCAGTTACCCTTCATAAAACTGTCCAATTTTTGGTGCTTCCATTTTTAGACAGTTACATTATTTTAGTAAATGTTGTGTATCTGCTTTTCTTTGGGTCTGGTTGTTGTTTGTGGATACTGAAACTCATTGAAATTGTGAGCCAGGCTGTCTGCAGCAGGCATCTGGAGGAGTTCACACGTCGATGATGTTGCCCTGAGTCCTCCAGGGAGCTTGGCAAGGTGAGCACTTCTCAGGCAGGCATGTATCTCTGCAGCTTCCAGGCAGATATGTTGCCCAGGAATTCAGTGCTTTTGGAAACTTGCAGTTAGTCAAGCCCTAGCACCAAAATCAGTAAAATTACCTCTAGACAATAACAACTCAAATGCTTTGTTATGCAAGGGTCTGTCCGGAGGTTTTGGTGGCTGTGTGGGATTTGGTTCCTGTAAACAAAGGTTCACGCACAGGAACAATCCTGTTGTATCCTGGGTGCCAGCAGACAAGCAAAAGACTGAATAAATGTTACCGTATTCTGGAATCAAGAAGTAAATCAGCAAGCAACGGCAGAAGGCTGGTTTGTGTTTTGGGTTTTTTTTTAATATGCTACATGTATAATAAACTTCATACTCCAGGACTGGCAACATAGTGTCTCTCATCAGCAGTAAGTTAATTCAGTTGTAATGGCAAACAAAGCATGCTGTGTGAAACATCCAGTTCATAGGTAATACCTTAACAGAAGTTCATGCTATTACGAAAATTTGTACTGGTGATAAACACGCAAGCTGTTAAAAGGACATAAAAGCACAAGATGCTCTTCAGAGGTCCCAAACGAAGCTACAACTTTCTTCTGAAGTCCCACACCATATATTAAAAGAACACTGAAATAGATGAGACTTTATTTCTTCTTTTTTTCCCCACCCCAGAGCTTGGCTGGATCTCAAAAGTGCATGTGAATCGACCCGCAGTTGTGAGGCATGCAGAACAAATTAAAAAATGGAAAACTGTGAAAGGTAATTGGCAAGTAAGTGCTCTTTTTATGCATTCTGTTCCTGTATTTTTAAAGCAGTCACTCTCCCTCTCCAGGCTGCAATATTGAATTTTTTTCAAGATGCATGTAAACTTAAAAGATGTGCTTGTCTGTGTCTTATTTTAATAATTTGTATTTGATGATGATGGGATGGAATAAGGTGACGCATTTATCCAAACAAGTTAAAAACCTTATAACTCATGAGTGGCAAAACCGCAAATGAATTTAAGTCATCTTTATTCATGAGTGGATTAAATTGTATATTACTATCCCACCACATTTATTCTGTTTCCCAGACAGACTTCTCTGCGCGCTGCCTTCTTATTTTTTAATTTTAAAGCTGTAAGATATGATCATGGTCCCTGTCAAGTTTGACCTACGTGGATAATTTTTCTTTACTTAAACATCCCCAACATGTGTGATTTCTTTGCTTAACTAGTTCTTACCTAAAATTCAGAAATCCTGACTGGTTGTGGGACTGGAAGGCAGAAAGGAAAAATAAAAAAAATAATTAAAAAAAAAAGAGCAAGCCCACTAATGTTAAGGGGACTGATTTCTCAACTCCTGAGGTAAGGTGAATGATTGGTTATTGCCCATCTTGGTATAAAACAGGTTCACGTAAGCCACTGCTAAAGCCAGTGGCACAAATGAACTTTCCTTCAAGGCTGACTTGTGTTCATTGAACACACATGTTTAGAGTGTCTTAGCAGTTACCCTCAACCTCTGCTGTTATTGCCCGCCTGGCAGAACTGGCAGATACCGGCCCGGTGTACGCTTTGGCTTCTCCAGTTTGCAGGCGAGAGTCGTAACGCAAAGCCATCAGGTCAGCAGCGTAAGCCAATACGTTCTGCAAAGCCGGGCAGGTGAGGCACGGCCACGTGCTGCCTTCTGCCGCCGCGGCGGCAGGATGGGAAGCGCTGAGAGGGGAACGGCGGGCAGAGCTGGCGGCAGGGTGCCGCAAGCGCTTTGCCGACATTCAGCCAAGGGCAAGGTCTGAGAAATGCCGTGGAGCAGACCAGGAGCTCCTCGTGAGCCCTCAGCCGTGGGGTTGTAACTGGTGTCCAAAGGACAAATCGATTCTTCGCTCACCAAATGGCTGTTCTGCAAGCCAATGTGTGCAATTCCTCCCCTCTGCACGCTAAAGAAATTTACTTGTAACAATAACTGAAAACCTGGAAGCGGGAGGAAGGAGACAATGAAGGCTCAATCTTAACAGTGCAACATAGCAGAACAAAGCAAGAATCAATTATACTTAATTCTTAAAAAAAAGTGTTAAAAATAGCTGGCACCCTGAGCTTAGCATGTCAGGCAGCCATTCTGGGGTGGCTGAAGCTGCGTTCACGATGAGCACAGATCTTGCAGATGACAGTTTGGGGATAATTTGATGTAGCTGTGTAAGATCCTACTGGAAGGTGATAGAAACCAACTTCCTGCCTGCTATGTGAACCTGAAAGTTTGTGCTTTGAATGTTATGATTAAATAAAAAATGGGCATAATCTGAGGAAAGTTAGACACCAGCTCAGCATTTATCAGGACTTTCTTACGCATAAAAAGTCACTTGATACCAAGTTTAGCAGTCCAGTGGCTCTGGGTTGGGAAGTAGTGTTGGTGAGAAAACCCAGAGGGTATTCCGTCACCTTGGCTATACTGCAGGTGCAGTAATGTAAAAAGTAAGTCTTCTGATTTGACAGAAGTTACTATATAAAAAACAAAGGAGTAAAGGAGTCACAGGCTTTGATTACAAAGAATCTTTGGGAAGAAAGGGATTTAGTGTCATTCCTTCAATGTGGCTGTAGGACGAATGTTTAATTTTTATCAGCACTTCTCCAGTCTTGTGTATAATAACGCTGTACTGAGTTACTTGAGTGAGGTTTTACTTTGAAGAGTGCCAGAAGCATCTCTCCTGGATTTGAACACTGTCATTGTGGGATAGTCATGTGCTGTTTATTTCACAGAGATGATTTTGAATCTTTACATGTTTGAATGTAGCACCACAGATTCAAATTTTGAAGCCCGTTTCCTAAAATACACATTCGAAAAATCCTTTTAAAAAAATGTTCATACCAGTTCTTGGAACTCCCTGACTACATCTGTCTTGATGACTTTATGATTCATGTCGTAAGAGATGAGACAAAAATTCACTTGAACGAAGGATAAAAAGCTCCGAGTAAAAGAAACTTAAACCCACTTAAAGTGAAGAGCCCTTCTGAAGTATCATAGGGTGAAAGTAGAAATCAATTAGAAACAAGCAGCCAAGCTTAGACTAACAGAGGCCAGTAACAGTTCATTACTCTGTTTAGTCACCCCAAAGCAGCTTTCAGTGTAACATTTACTGCAAGTTCAGAAAGGAGACTCCCATCAGCGAAGTGTGAAAGGTTTGTAGGCTGGCCAAGCCACTTAAGATTTGCAAAGTAATACCTCCATGCAGAAACAACAAGTTTTACTGCCTATAGTGACAAATAGTGTCACAGAGCAGTCAGAGGGGAACTTTATGGTCTCACATGGATGTTGCCATTGCAAACTCTCCCCTTGTTGAACAAGTGCCCACTAAGAGATGTCATCTTTTAGTGAAGCCATCTCTGTAAATGAGAATTTGCTGGAAGACTTTCAACAAATATTTCAAAATAATGTCTTAAGCTCAATTTTTGCTCAACAAAAAAGCTAAAAAAATCTTTAGTTGTGCTTCTGTTCCATTCTCCGATTCATAAGTCTTAAAATTCTGTAGCATTTTCATCTAAAGAATGCTTCAGCCTTGTCACTTAGCTCTTGCTTTTGTTTTTTGCACCAAATAATTACAGATGTTTTTTATTCCCGATTCACACAAAAGAAAGTGGAAACATCTGGAGTCTAGACCCTAAGTTTTAAGAAGTCTGGGTTCTTGCCCCCCACTGATTCCACCTTTCACTCTCACAGCAGGAGGAGCATGCAAATGTGCAAGTGTGCAAATTGCTGATGTGTAGACTCATCTGGTTACTGGCAACCGCAAGCTCCTCTTGAAGCATGCGTATAATTTCTCGTGCATACAAGCCTTAAACATACAGACATACTCTACAGAATGGAGCATATTATAACAGCGAGGTGCCTCACATAGGTGATGTTTTTATCTTTGTCTTACAGAATTAAATTTGAAACAAGATGCTTTTTGTCCAGGTAAAAATGTCCGATTCTTTCAGAGTCCCATTTGGTAGTTAGTTTTTGTGCCAAAAATTGGAATTTGATCCTTTGATTCTGAGAGGGCGGACTTTCGATTGCAATCTTTTCTGTACCATTATATACTGCTCAAGACATGAACAAATATCTGCCAGCCCTGTCTGTCATAAACCACTCTTTGCATGTCCTCTATGTTACATCCCATACATTTCCTCATTCTTAGAGTAAGAGCCAGGCTTCTGATTCCTGCATCTTCTAACTCATTTTGGCTTTGGAAATGTAAACTGAAATACTATATTCCTTGGTTCACTCCCTTTGTAGGCTGCTTGGCTGCTGAAAGCTGTCACCTGCATAGACCTTACCACTCTTTCAGGTGATGATACTCCTTCAAATGTTCACAGACTGTGTTTTAAAGCAAAGCATCCCATCAGAGAGGATCTGCTGAAAGCCTTGGACATGCATGATAAAGGTATGATAGTTTTTGTTGTGCATATTTTATAGAGCAAATGTCTACATTTCCTCATTATTTTTTCAATTTTCAGAAAGGTGTAAAAATTGCCTCTTCTTTCTATAATGGAAGCAGCTATGGTAGGCAGCGCTGCAGAACTAATAGTTGTGAGAGAACAAGCTAGGTCCTATATGGTGGTATTCAAAGCAACTATCTTAAGTTCTATCTGCAAAATATCTATTCCTTTGAGTTAATATCAGAACACAGGGAGAAAAAAATCCATTCTCAGTTTGGCAATTAAAGTGAACCACGGTCTCAGGGCGACACTGTAAGTTATGATACCTGGTGAGCAAATTTGATGTGGAAGCCACAAGTGTGTGACATCAGTATATGTCTTTTAATAACAGTGCACTAAGGTGAAACTAATTGAGTATTCTGTTAATCTGCTGATGTCTTTAGTAAATTGGAGAGGGGGGGAGTGTTCATGTGACTCCTTTGGATTTCATGCTTAGCTGCTGTTTCTGTATATAACTGCCGCACCTGCCACTTTGCCTGTCAGAAAAGATGCATTCCACAGTCCTAAGCATGTTATTTTTCCTTCAGAAAACATGTGTTACCTGCTTGTTTCAGTAGTTAAGATAGGAAATGGAAGTCAGGAAGACAGGAAATCTTTTTGCAGGCCAGTCTACTTTAAGGAATCAGTCCTCTAGTGAGTATATGCAGCTAGGTACATGTGACGTATACACACACACGCACACACACAGCATTCCCAGCTAAGTCAACAGAGTTGAAGAGGTGGAAGGCAGCCCTTAAGAACTAGTGGTAATACATTCATTGACGTTACTCAAGCAGGCTCCGTCTGAAGTCCCAATGTTACACGCAAGACTGAACACAATAAAACTTTAGAGCAAATTGAGACTGTCAATATAACTATCAATAAAACCTCTTTATATCTGAGCAGTGTTTCTGAATTTTTCCAGATGACATCACTGATGTGTCAGTGAATACCATTTGACTTTTGTTCTGTCATGTTGGCCTTATGATGACCTAATAAAAAGAAAATCCCAGTGACGTTTGGGGCATGCTTTTACTATTGAAATATTTCAGGTTTACACGGGCATTGGTCCACTAATTGAAGTCATATGATGTAGAACCAAAGGGGAATCAGGCCTCTGGTTTTATGCCATACACATAAAATATCAAAAATTAGTCATCTTTTTAAAACTTAGATTTATGGACTCTTCAGACAGTTAAAGTATTGAATGTGTGGTAATTTATCTGAGACTTTGAGAGGATAGCATTTTTAACTAGAAATGCAGTAGGACTGCATTAACATAAAGACTGCTCAGTTGCTGCTGGCCTCAGTCTGGCTCAACAAGTAAGGAGAGAGCTTGGCAGTGCGGTTTGTCTTGCAGTAATTTGCTGACTAAGCATGTCTTAACTGTACGTGTTGGCATTAAACAGTGAATCTGTCAATAAAAATCTTGGCATTTTAGCTCCTGCTAATGCAAACTTGCTCCCAGGTTCAGGTGAAGGAACATGAGGGAGGTAACAGTATGGAGAATTACCTGAACCGTTTGAGCAATATAACAGACATTGCTAGTGTAGGTGCTTAAGATCTTTGTGAGAATGCAGAAGTGGGAGGTGAGAAAATGCACACATGCTCATAATACGGATTGCACTCGAGAAGGTGGAAATCTATATATGGAATCTACATATGGAAAAGTGAACTGTGGCTTTTGCAGGTATTACTGTCGGAGCGGTTTGTGTATATCCTGCAAGAGTCACCGATGCTGTTAATGCCCTAAAGGCTGCTGGTTGTAACATACCAGTAGCTTCAGGTAACCTTTATTCAAAAATATTTAATTAAACATTTTGATGCTGTGAAATATGTAGAAAAATATAGAAGTTTGGAATTGCTTTTATTTCAGAGAGTAAGGTGAAAAGGTAGCAGGTGAAAGGAAGGGAATGGAGGGGAGGATTTCCTTCTGATATAATCTTTTGTTTTCTTTCAAATTCAAGTTTATAAGGAATGCCAAGTCTGTTTTACTGGAATCTCAAAGAAGCCCTTAAGATGTATCAGTGTTTTCCTCACCCGCATAGAAGAAATTTAGATAGTGTGCTGGACAAAGTATCAGTAGACACTAGACACTAAGTAGATGATGATGATGATAGTGATAATAATAATAAAGCAGCAGCAGCAACAACAATAATAATAATAATAATTATAATGATAATAATACTACAATATTAGCTTTAGGAGTTCTAATACAATTTTTTTTTCCCTATCAGTTCTTTGGCTTTTATGTATAATTCTACAAGCTGAATTCAATGAAGCTGTGTGCAGAGGGAAGGGTTATTGCCTGCTGAGCAGCCTGCAGGTTCAGGACTTGTACTTACAAGTCTAATAGTGCCAGCTCTTCTCCAGTCACCACACATGAGAGACAAGTCTTGAATCTACAATAAGCAACAGAGAGAATCAAAGAATTATGCAGGTTGGAAGGGAGCTCTGGATGTCATCTGGTCCATCCTCCTGCTCAAAGCAGGGGCTAACTTTGAAGTTAGATCTGGTGTTTAATGCTAAGATCAATTTTTCTGTTGTTTTTTGTTGTTGTTGTTTCATTGTTGTGTAGGGGAAAAAATACATAATAAATGCATTTATATGTCAGAGAGAAAAAGGATCTCTGACAAAGACATTATTTTTTCCATTTCAAAAATTATCTTTGGGCTTTGTACTTAAACATCATAAATGTAATCTTAAGTAGACCTCATTGAAAGCAATTTCTACTATATTGTGATTTAGCTGTTAAACATATTACTAGGATTTCACTTGAAACACTACTTAAAAGAACTGGGGAGTATTAAAAATGTGTTTATTGCTTCATATATGAGTTCACTCCTTCTTTGCCCAATTGTGGTGGAAGCAATAGATATTGTGCTTTCTTATGTAGGCTCCTTTGGAAAAATTTAAGTCATGTGAAAGACACCTTTTCACAAGATGCACTTAGTATCTTGGTGGACATTGGTTCTTGAGGGAAGATCTAATGTTTCTTGTGGATGAAGACAGGGTAGGATGGGTTACCTTAAGATTTTTTTGCATCATGGTAGGGATAAAAAAATAATAACTTTCAAACTCTTGGGTGTATTAGAGGTCTATGCAATTTTATGGTCAATTTATAAAACATCTTTTTCCCTCTACCTGCATTCCCCTTCTTGCTAGTGGCTGCTGGGTTTCCTTCTGGACAAACTCCTCTAGAAACCAAACTGGCCGAAATAAAGCTAGCTGTGGAATATGGTGCCAGAGAGATTGACATTGTCATTAGCAGGAGTCTGGTGCTGACTGGCCAGTGGGAAGGTAAGTACTCACACTGTGGCAAGGAAACTAAACCTCTGTATATGCATATGTATGCTCTGTCTTTTTCTCTTCTCCAAGTCTCCACATCAGTCTGTGAAGAATTTCGTCCCTTCCCTAAAAGTAAACTGATAATCTGGGGCACTGAACTAAATAAAAACTATTTAACTATTTAATTATTCCCACAACATCCTCCTAGAGAAGCTGGCAGCTCATGGCTTACACAGGTGTACCCTTCAGTGGGTAAAAAACTGCCTGGACAGCCGAGCCCAGAGCATTGTGGTGAACAGAGTTAAATCCAGTTGGTGGCCAGTCACAAGTGGTGTTCCCCAGGGCTCAGTTTTGGGGCCAGTTTTATTCAATAACTTCATTGATGATCTGGTTGAGGAGATTGAGTGCTCCCTCAGTAAGTTT